GAGCCTTAAATATTCTGATAATTACCAGCCCACACTCATGAAAGATCAGAGGAGAAGATAATCAACATTAGTGACTGTAGATGAAAAGAACCAGAAGGGAGGCTAGATTACTTTCAATCAAAAAAAGTAGTCTGGGCATGGTGGCTCACACCTGTAATTCCAGTGCTGGGAGGCTGAGGTAGGTGGATCTCTTGAGCCCAGGAGTTCCACACCAAACTGGGCAACATGGTGAGACCCCAGCTCTAAAAAGAAATAGCCAGGCTTGGTGTTGTGTGCCTGTAGTCTCATGCCTGTAGTCTTGACCTGTAGGAGGCTAAGGTGGGAGGATCCCTTGAGCTCAGGAGGTGGCAGTTGCAGTGACCCAAGATCGTGCCACTGCACTCCAGCCTGGGTGACAGAGCAAGACACTGTACATCCAAAAAAAACAAGAGCCAATCTTTATGAAAAAGTAATCCTGAATATAGATTTAAGTGGTAAGGGGAGAAAACCAGGATTGTATCAGTTATGTTTCCCTCCCTACCCCTCACCCAGTTAAGAAAGCAATGAACCAGCCCCTTTTAACGAGTAGAACAGCTACAGAGCTGTTTTGAATAACTGTACAGAAGTTAAGAAAATATTCAAGCCAAAACTAGCCTACTCAATGGAAATAGATACAGCCCCAAAAAGCAGTGGTTAGAGATGCAAGTTGCATAATTTTAGAAATACCACCTTAGTCACTGAACTTAATTAAGAGGATGTCAAAAATGCAGTGTAGGCTGGGCACAGTGGCTCACGCTCACGAGGTCAAGAGTTCAAGACCAGCCTGACCAAGATGATGAAATCCCATCTTTCCTAAAAATACAAAAAATTAGCTAGGCATGGTGGCAGGCACCTGTAGTCCCAGCTACTCGGGAGTCTCAGGCAAGAGAATCACTTGAACCTGCGAGGCAGAGGTTGCAGTGAGCTGAGATTGTGCCACTGCACTCCAGCCTGGGCGACAGAGCAAGACCCCGTCTCGAAAGAAAGTGTATCCCTTGTGTAAGGCAAAAACAGGTCAGTGTCTGAGCAACCAGCTAGAAAACAGCAATAGTCGTCCTGCCATTTGTCAGGTAAACACATCAACATGGGGTTGTAATTAAAAAGTAAATGAGGAAATGCATATAAACTTTATAGCACACAGCTTTTTAGCTGGGTTTTCTTCTTAAACTTTATAACATAGTTTAAAGCTAAGTTTTGTGCTTGCATCAGTGTTACACGTCAGTGATGTTTTTCAGCTAAGAATTCTTTTTCACTGTGAAGCAGTACAAATTCATGACTTTGCTAACAATTTATGACTGCTGAGCAGTAATACAGCTAACCTTTACTGAGCACATACTATGCATTAGAAGTGTGCTGAGCATTTCACATGTATTGTTTTACCCGAACCTTAGAACAATATTATGAGGTAGGTGCTATATTATTTCTGTTTTACAGATGGCCAAGCTGAGGTCAGGAAAAGTAAGTAATTTAGAGAGATCCATAGCTGATAGGTGGTTGAGCCAGGATGAATACACATTCCCAAAGCCCATGCACCTAGCAAACTACTCGACTTGGGAAGGGTATTGGTTAAAGTGGAAAGCAAATGGGGTGAGGGAAGCAGTCTCAGGTCAGATACCTGAGGTTAAAGGTGGGGAAAGGGGAACGGGAGGAACAGCATTCTTACCAGCAGCTGAATCTCCAGTCCAGAAGCAGTTACCGAGGGCATGGCAATCAGAGCCACGGGAATCAGTAAATTGGGGAAAGAAAAAGGTTTTCCTCAGGGAAGAAAAGGAACTGACATTTTTTGTGAGGTGTGACTGGAGAATTAGAAATGACAAACCAAGAGTTTTTGAGCACGAAGTGGGAAGATCACGAGAAATAAAATCACCCTGAAAAACTCTTGGTGACAGAAAACGCAGACCCGTAGTGAACAGACGGACGTGTAAAACTGGCGCGGTTTGGGGTTGCTCCTTTTCTGTGTTCATTGTCCACCTGCCTTCTACATTTCATCAGACACTCCCTTCCTCTGGAGGCTAGCATCTATTTTGCTTTTTTGGGTTGTTGTTCTTGTTGTTGTTAAGTAGGACTGAGCATTCAACTCTTAGGCACTTGGTTATATATGCTATTTAGGATTATTGAAAAGAAGGCCAGGTATGGTGGCTCACACCTGTAATCTCAGCACTTTGGGAGGCCGACTGGCAGGTCACTTGAGCTCAGGAGTTCAAGACCAGCTTAGCCAACATGGTGAGACCCCATCTCTACTAAAAATACAAATATTAGCCAGGCATGGTGGCGTGCACCTGTAATCCCAGCTACTTGAGAGGCAGAGGCACAAGAATCACTTGAACCCGGAAGGTGGAGGTTGCAGTGAGCCAAGATCACATCACTGCACTCCACCCTGGGTCACAGAGCAAGCCTCCATCTCAACAACAACAAAAAAAGCCTTTTCTTTATATACAGGAATTGTCTAACCCTGAAAAATAGTCTTTTCATGAATCATCTTCTTCCACAGGTGAGTGCTTAATAACTATTTGTAAATGTAGATACCATGATCTACCTCAGAGATACAGCATGCATTATTAATGCTCTCAAGTGATCATCTGAGCTCATACTTTACAGGTGTATGTGTTTATACTTGTGGTAAATCTGACCAAGAGAATTTTATACAATACTTTCATGAAAAGCATTACATTTGCCATATTGTCACAAGTTCATTTCCTTCGACCTGAAAGCGTCAATCCTTGAAGCAGTTAAGGCTTGTACAGAACTCAATTTGAAATGTATATAATCCTCAGCCTGATAGAGTAATATTGTTTTAGCTAATCAGTATCTCTTTTGTGCCTATGACCGTTTTTCATTATCTTGTTTGATGATCTTGCTTTATGTGAAATCTGTGCAAATACTTAACAGTTTGTGTAAAAACATCAAAGGATTTTAAAAATTTGTTTTGTTTTGATTGTAAATATTATCAGTGATCTGCTTTACAGAGCAAAGGATCAAAACTATAAACAAAAGGACTAGAATCAATTGTGAAAATCTAGACTATATAGGACTTCAGAATGCTGGTTACTAAAATTTTGGCTAATTTTGTAAGGTTTTTTGTTCTTGTTTTTGTTTTTGAGACAGTCTCACTCTATTGCCAGGGTAGAGTGCAGTGGCACTGTCTCAACTCACTGCAGCCTCTGCCTCCTGGGTTCAAGTCAGTCTCCTGCCTCAGCCTCCCGAGTAGCTGGTACTACAGGCGCATGTCACCACATCCAGCTAATTTTTGTATGTTTAGCAGAAATGGGGTTTCACCATGTTGCCCAGTATGATCTCAATTTCTTGACCTCATGACCCGCCCACCTCAGCCTCCCAAAAGTTCTGGGATTACAGGTGTGAGACACCACACCCAGCCTGTAAGGACTTTTAAAAGAAATAATTTTTTTCTTTTTTTTCTTTTTTTTGAGACAGGAGCTCACTCTATCACTCAGGGCTATGCAGTAGCATAATTGCCGGCTCACTGCAGCCTCAACCTCCCAGGCTCAAATGATCCTCACCTTAGCCTCCCAAGTGGCCAGGACTACAGGCACATGCCATTATGCAGGCTAAGTTTTGTATTTTCTTTTTTGGTAGAGCTGGGGCCTCAACACATTGCCCAGTCTGGTCTCAAACCCTTGGGCTCAAGCGATCCTCCAACTTCAGCCTACCGAAGTGCTGGGATTACAGGCATGAGCTACTTTGCCCAGACAAACAATGTATTTTCCAAAAACACTTGTAAAATTAGGTTAGGAGAGTGCCACTTTAATTTTTTTTCCTGAGGATTCTATATTTTGTCATTGAAAGGCAAGACAGTATTTTTAAAATGGGCCTCCGTAAGAGGGCTGAGTATAGAGCTTTATTAAAGAGTGCTGTGCTATTTGTTTGCTACGTATGCTTTGCTCATTCTCTGACGGAAAAAAAATTGTTTAGGTACCCTTTATATGCCCAGGAGATGCCTTCAGCCTCTCACCATTTGAATCTGGTTTGGGATTTGTATACTATATGAAACCACGTTTGAAATAAAGGTTCCTAAAGGCCAGGCATGGTGGCTCATGCCTATAATCCCAGCACTTTGGGAGGCCAAGGCAGGCAGATCACCTGAGGTTAGGAGTTCAAGACCAATCTAACCAACATGGTGAAACCCCATCTCTACTAAAAATACAAAATTAGTCAGGTGTGGTGGCACATGCCTGTATTCCCAGCTACTTGGAAGGCTGAGACAGGAGAATCGCTTGAACCCAGGAGGTAGAGGTTGCAGTGAACCAAGATCACGCCATTGTACTCTAGCCTGGGCAACAGAGCAAAACTCTGTTTCCGGAAAAAAAAAAAAAAAAAAAAAAAACGTTCCTAATGAACATTTTCCTGCATGAGATGCCAATTAACTGCCTGCTCTTGATTGATAATTGGGCATTAACTCTTCAGTAGTGCCATCATCAAAAACCACAGTGCAGACCCTGTTGTCCACCATTGAGAAATTAGACAATTATGCAATATTTGAACATGTCTAATCTAGGAGAGGGTATGCAAGGCTGGGCACGGTGGCTCATGCCTATAATTCTAGCACTTTGGGAGGCTAAAGTGGGAGAATTGTTTGAGCCCAGGAGTTCAAGACCAACCTGGGCAACATAGTGAGAACTCCGTCTCTACAGAAAAGTTTTTAAAAATTAGCTGGGCATGGTGACATATGCCTGTAGTCCTAGCTACTCGAGAGCCAGAGGTGGGAGAGTCACTTGAACCTGGGAGATCGAGGCTACTGTGATCATGGCACTGTGCTCCAGCCTCAATGAGAGAGGGAGACCCTGTCTCAAACAAATAAAAACATAGCACCCTCATATACCTTAATGGAAAGAATGACCAGATCTTTGGCAAAGTGTGACTGCTAAAAGAACATAATAACCCACTCAGCTTACACTCCATGTGTTTCCAACAGAGAGATACACAGTTGGTAGAAACAGAAAATTATAATAGAATAGAATTCTGTTGGCAGAGCATATATATTTATACATTCTTCTGTGTTTAGCTCAGTGGTTAGAGAACACTTCCTGGAAAGACTGCAGTACACAAATGTTTTCAATTTGAGCTTGTACATTTCATCTAATTGGTCCCTGAGACAAAGTTCACTGCCCTGGAGGTGACTTGGCTCAGTCTTTAAAACACACACTAATGAATTTCAGGTTTGGGACAGAAGAAGGGCTGCTCTCTATTGGACAGTCATGTGAACTTGTTTCCCTTGAATGCAATGTCACTCTGGATAGAGGGCTCTTCTACTGTCTCCAGAAAACTGATTGCCCTTGCTCTGAGCACTCCATGCTTGCCTGTGTTTAAAACTTAGGTTTGGCAGATTCCTTCATTTTTGTGAAAATAGGGCAAAGATCTTCTGAGTGCAATTGGATATATTGAAGGGCACTTAACAATAACCTTTAAATAGCCTGTAAAGAGGGGTTTGAGCTAAGTCTGTTTCGTTTTTCCTTTCAGCTGTTTGAAGAGAAAATTCAAAGGAAAATTCATCTTTTATACCTTTTTATGCTGATAGATCTAGTAATAGTTTAGGAATTTTATCTCATCTGCTCCAGCTAGCACCCCACCAGAAAAATCATGGAAGTTTAGTAGCTGAATATGGAAACTTGTTTTATATAGACAGGAAAGAAGTAAGCTAAAGAACTCACAGACACGGCTTATCAGGACTACAAAGCCTGAGCTATCTGTTACCCCCACCCCACCCTGAGTACCTTTGGCAGTGCATACAAAGACTTGATCCTGACTAGCTTAGAAGACAGATGCAGTTACTCAGCTTCACACATCTCGCCTATATGCTCAGAGTGGGTCACAATTTGTGTTGGGCCAGTAGGGAGGAAAATTGATTTCACGAATTCCTGCATCAGTGGAAGGTCAGCCATGGACTGTAATTTTGTTATGGAGCGGGAGAATTTCCATTGCTGTGTGATGCTGCATTTGTCCCAGTTATGCCATTTAGCATCGGCAAGGCTGTGCACAAGCCTGTGCAAGCCTCCTGTCTGGACCTCACTTCTTCCTTCCTAATTTAAGCAGGGTGGGCCAGATGATCTCCAAAGGCCCTTTCTACCTTTCACAGTCTGAAGTTCAGCTTCTTCTGCAAATATGAGGTTGGGGCATCAATTGCAGTGGTCAGCTAGAGACTATTTGCATTATCCAGCTGATAAACTCTTCCAGCAGACAAATGTAAATAAACAACAACATTCAAGTCCTGCAGAAAGTTTGTCTTGGGTTTGCTGAAATGATCAGCAGAAATCTTGAGTGGTGAATTGCTCCTAAGTATTGGGCAGGAGTTTTCAGGTGACAGTGTCCTGCCAATGCTGGATGCTTACTGGGGTGGGGTCCTGTTCGAGATCCTGAGTTAGCAGCAGAAGGTGGTGCAGCATGCAGTTGAGCATCAGAAAGTCTTGGTTCCTCGAGGCTCCTGACCGTCCCATCAACCCAGATGTCCTAGCCTCATAGGCTTTGGCGAGTTACCTTGCAGTTCTAAAGCTTCTGGTGGTTATTTTTTTTAATGATAATAATAACTGCTTTTCGGGGTGAGAAGCTTAAAGTATGTGAAAGTATCTGGCAAATAGGTGGTGCTTTATAAGTAGGTGACTAAAAACAGCAATTTGTAAAAACCCCAAATAAGATAACCTTATGTGACAGTGGGGTTCAAAAAACATTTGTGTGTGAATAACATTGCATAGGACACACTGTCCTTTAATCCTTAACAACCTTATTTTACAGATAAGAGACACCAGGGAGTTCCCAGGGTCACAACACCCTGGAAGCAATGGAGTTGAGATTCATGTCTTCTGGTTCCAAACTGGTGTTTCTTTTCACAATATACTACCAATGCACCAATACAGTTAGTATATTTTATAGTTAAATTTCTGATGATTCTGGAAAAGGAAATAAATGATCGAAATGGTAATAGTACCTATTTTGGTAGAGGGGATTTCCTTATGCCCTTTTATATGACTATGGCTAAAGTAGTCATATTTCTTTGTGCCCTTTTATGTGACTACAGCTTTCCAGTACAAGCCCAGGAAACCCTAGCCAGTCACTCCTCACGTTGTGGGATCTTAACTCTGAAACAGCTACTGGGGATAGCTGGAAGATTTGAATATCTCCGGGATGTCACTGTCCAGTTTCGAAATAATTTTATAAATGGGTTTCTTCCAGGAAGGATCTGAATCTCTCCCTGCGGAGACAGCCCTGAAGAACTCCTGTAATGTCAAGCTGGCGATTTCCAAGAAGCAATCTGGAACCTGCATTTCCAAAGAGACCCATAGGAAAGAAAAGACATGAGGTTGGAAAGCACCGGTGCCAGAGACCTCACTAGTGGATGCTGCCTGTTTCTTGGGTAGTGGGCTAGGAACATCCCTGCTCTACTGGCCCCTGATTCTGCAACCCTAGAAATCCTCTGCTTTCTCATCAAACATAAACCTTGATATGACAGCTCCAATGAGACAGCCCCAAGAGAAGGTGAATTAAGGACACTCCCTTTATAGGAGGAGCTGATCCCGCTAATGGGTGACTGTTTACTAAGTAGGTCAAAAAATCTTACTGAAAGTAAATCTGTGGCTCAAAGAGACTTTGGCATTCTTTTCCTTAGTACTAACTGTGGAAAGGAGTGCCCGCAAGCTTCTGACTCTCATACCTCATTGCACTGCCTTTTAGGGCTAGGTTTGAAGGGCTTGCACTCCTGCTTTCAGAGCCAGTTGAGGGGGGGCGCTATTCTAGAACCCTAACCCAGACTGGCACCATGAACGATGGGGTGCCCCACTGCCAAGCTCCAGACCCAGCTTGACTTGGGGCTTGCTGCCACTCCAGGCCAAATGACCACCCTACGTGGAAAGATACGGCAGTGCTGCCTGTCCCATACTGGCCCTGACCGCTTGAGCCTCAGAAAGGGAGGCATGGTCCATTTTCCCCACAGGTAGTCTTAGCTTTTCAAACACATTCTGCCTGACCAGTCGACCAGTGGATGACCACAGTTCTTATATTTCTTGGAGGTATCAATAAACCACTCTTTGTCATCACAGTCAAGGGAGAAAGCAAGAAGAGGGAAGTGTAATCTATGACCAGATATACCTGGCACCTGCAGAATCAGATGCCAGCCCAACAGAGCTGTCAGCTGTGCATGAGGCAACACACGTCTCTGGATTAGGAATGTGCACAGTGACACCTAGACTCACCCTTCACTGACGCTTTACCTCTGAGGTGCCACCAGTGTGCCTTCATAGGGATCCCCGAGGGACTGAGAAGGCTGAATGTTGTTTATTGTTATTTCCAGAGAGGATTCGAGGTGACTTGCTATGGAAGGCCCACAGATAACATTTTCAAGGGAAAATACAGATAAGAACCAAATCATGAAAAGCATAGAAATTGTTGAGAAAACCTAGGCCAAGACTAGGTGCTACAGCTGAGCTCAGCATTCCGTCCTGAGCCTCCTGGCACTAAGGCAAAAAGGTCAGTAAGTTACGTAACTGGATAATTACAGGGTATTCCGTCTAAGATGGTGTAACACGGGGAGATCTTTGCCTAAGCATCAGAATGAAGACTTAGCTGGAGACTCAGTTTGCTGCTTCTACCTTGTTGCCTAAGAGACTGTAATCTTTGTGGATGATACAGAGATTGGCCCCAGGCTGCCCTGGCTCTCGGTAACTTAAGGGCAGACACAGAATGGGGATCTTTCCTAAAACTCGAATCACATAGAGAAGATGTTCATCAGACCTCATGGGAGCCCAGTACACGGTCTTACCTCAAAGTCATTTCCCTTGTTATAGTGCATATTGAGAGCTCGAAACAGTTCTGAATTGCGGAGAACCACCAGCATTTTGGGATTGGTGACACCATCTGAAATTGCTTGCCGGGCAAATTTTTCCATCTGGATGTAATAAAACTCACGGAAGTTGCTGAACCACTTGATCATCTGGGAGGTAATGCAGCGGTTGAACTGAACAAAGAAGAGGCCCACCAAGTCAGACGTTTGCACGAGGTGCTCAGAATTAGAACTGTCTGCTTCCAGCTCAACATAGGGGTTCATAGAAATGGTTTTAACCAGCATTAACAGGGGCTTCCTTTTAAAAAAAGAAGCCACATCAATTTTCCAAGCCTATTCAGTTATACTCAGAAAAATCTAAATTAGCTACAGTGCCCAACAGAAAATACATTTTTTTTATGTGCTAGATTTATGAGGGTTGTTTGACCCGTGAAAATCTTTTTGTGGTGTTTGGGACTTAGGGAGAGTCGGGGGTCAAGACGAGTGTGGTGCCAGATTTTGCTGCACCGAGGTGGATTGCCTGGCAGCCCTGGGGACTTCTGCCTGATAAAGGGCCAAGGGAAGGGCAAAGTGTAGGTCAGAAAGCAGTTTGTTAGCAACTTCGAATTGTACAAAGAATTGAAATCAAAATCAGAGGTTGCTGCAGGTATCAACCAAGCAACTGGATATGAGGGAAAGAAAAGCTTGAATGATACAGACCAAAAGAATTACCAGCCACTAACCCAATACCCAGGGTAAAGGAGGCCCTCAGAAACCTCTTATGGGAACAAAGGAGGTCTGGTCCCAACAATTAGTTTGATTTTTCTTATTGTCACAATGGATCTGTATGTACTTTCACTCAGCTTTGAAATATAGCAATTTGAATGTAAATTTGATAGTGTCTGACTCTATGTATTTTTTTTTTTTTTTTTTTTTTTTTTTTGAGACTGGGTCTTGCTCTGTCACCTAGGCTGGAGTGCAGTGGCATGATCTCTACTCACTGCAACCTCCACCTCCCAGGTTAAAGTGATTCTCCTGCCTCAGCCTCCCGAGTAGCTGGGATTAAAGGTGCCCCCAACCACACCTGGCTAATTTTTGCATTTTAATAGAGATGGGGTTTCACCATGTTGATCAGGCTGGTCTCAAACTCCTGATCTCGGGCGATCCATCCGCCTCGGCTTCCCAAAGTGCTGAGATTACAGGAGTGAGCCACTGCACCCGGCCTATTTTTCTTTCTCATGGTGTCCCCAGACAAGGCAGAAAACTAGGCCAAAAAGGCCACTAACTAGTATTTCTCTTTCCGTCTACTTTTCCTTCCCATGTGTTTCTGCTTTTCAGGATTATCTACAGCTCAGTAGCTTAAGAATTTAGACACCCAACCTTTCTAGCCTCCATTTAGTCATGGTTTTTAGGGCAGAGTCTCAGCCCAGAACTGGACATTGCACCAATTCTATCAACAACTCTGAGGGAGCTTGAAGTGCACATATGATAACCTAGGACTTGCCTCACACCAGGCAAAACACACTGCCACTTGGCAGTTTTGCAGAAGCTGCCATTCAATTGAGTGACTTTACCTGAACATCAGGAAAATAAGCCTTCAGGAGACTGGAGCTGGGATATCTTGTGAAGAAAAACATGAGTTTGGCCTTCTTCAAGTGACCAGGATTTAGGCCCTCCTGGATTTATCTCAGTGTCAAGGAAAATTAACACTTTAAAATGCCAGTTTATCAATTAAATAGTGAATTCCTTGTTCCTGTGGTTTCTATTTTATTTAGTTTTGTTTCTGATTGGAATTGTGTATTTGCTCCATTTTTCTGTCTCTGGAAACTCTGGTCAAATAAGCTGGATGCCATGCATTAAGTCACAGAATGTAAAAACCACCTTGATGTGGAAAAGTTACGGAGCCTGTATGATACCAAAAGGTTTGTTGTACTGTGTGTGTTGTCCGAAAGGGATGGGAAGAGATAGCAGTTCTACCCCAGATAAACCATTTCAAAGCCCCAAGCAGAGATTTACTTCTGCTCTCTGCCTCAGTTTCCTTAGCTGTAAAATGAGAGGAGTAAACTAGGTGGTCCCCATGCTGGCTGTCACTCTTGTCATTGGCTTTGCAGTGTTGCCTTTCTAACCGGCAAACACCTAAGCAGGCTGAGTCCCTAGCTCACATTTTACTTTTGCTCAAGAAGTTTGAACAGTTGGGTGGTGCCCACTCTCCCTTTGCCTGGCAGAGCTGTCCCTCATCCTTCAGGTCTCAGCTCAGAAGCTCCCGCCGCCTCTGTTAAAGCCTTCCTTGCCAAATTAGGCCTTCCTTACCCTGGGCTACGAAGACCCTTGGTACAAACTGCCTCAACGATGACCTTGTTGGAATTTGTACTGCACGTTTGTCTCCTCATTTAGACTGTGAGCTCTTTGAGGGTGAGGACCTTATCTTTTCATCTTTGTGCCTAGCCTAGTGCTAGGAACATAGTAGGTGCTCAATAAATATTTGCTGTGTGCAGGAGTGAGTGAGTGAATGGTCAACCTTAATCCATACACCTACATGGAAATTATATTCCAAACCATACCTCACTCTGGGAACAGACAGATTCCTTCCTCTTTAACAAGAGTTGGGGAGTTGTGATGTGACTGCCTAGCACTGGGGTGGGAGGGAAAGGAAATAAAGCTTTTACACAAATGTGCTTAGCATTTTCAGGGACAGTCCTTATGCTGAGTCAGAAGCATTACACAGAGTAACCTGGGGTCTCAGATCTGAGAGCTGTAGCTTAAGACAATTATTAAGACTTCCACACAGGGTGAATCTGTTTAACCAAAATAAACCAAAGCAACTGAGTATGGTTATAGCTGGCCCAGGCACCTAGTTGCTGCACAGAAGACCCCTCCCTGCTGTCCCATCAGCCCTACTTATCCTTCCTACAGATCCATGAGTGCTCCAGAAAGAATCCTGGACTGGGGATTCCAAAGACCCAGTGTCAGACACTGATTTTGCCACCTATTAGCCGTGTGACCTTGGGCAAGCCACTTCACTGCTCTGGGCCTCATTGCTAAGATGTGGAGTATGGTGGTTAAAGCTTATAGTTGGCCATCAGATCCTGGGTTGAATCCTGGTTGCTCATTAGTGCTTTGGGCAAGTTAGTTCCCTTTTATGTCTCTGCTTCTCGGATACCTGATCTTAGAGTGGATGCTTGAGGATGGTGAGATGATACAGATCTAAACCCCTTATCTGAAATGCTGGGCCAAATGGAGTTCGGATTTCACAATTTGTTAGCTTGTAAAGGTAATACGATGTGTGCACCACACAGTAATTAGCATCCACAGCAGAGATGGCCTATAATCCAATATATTAACATTTCTGCAGCAAAATGTATGACTATACTAAGTGGGATAAAATCTATAAGTAGCCTCCATCAGTGCAGGCCAGGTTTTGCTACCGAAAAAAGATTGTATCAGTCTTAGGGGAAAAAGAATCATAGGACTTTTCAAAGCTTTGTGGGTTTCAGAATTGTTGCTAAGTGGTGGCAGACACATACATGTGAAGTGCTGGTAGTAGTGCCTGCCACAGAGAAAGTGCTCTGTCAGTGCTCCCCTCGTGATCTTCACATCTGCCCTACGCACGTCACAGGATGGCACGTGAACGTGAACGTTCTTTTTGTGCTGTAAAGCAGCTTGCTCTCAGGTGGCTTTCATGGCCCACAGGAATAAATCTCTGGTCTTGTATTGTAGGCATCAGGAATGAGGGAAGCATTGAGGGGCCTAGGATGCCGCCAGGGGGCCCCAAGTCATTCCAAAGAAAGGTGCTTCACCCATGCAGCTAGGCCTGGCTTAGGTATTTCTTAGGATAGGCCCCAAATCTCCAGAAGCTCTCTGAGCCCAATCCCCAATTTGGGGGGCGGGAACAGGCACAAGGAGGTGCTCAACAAATAGCAAATTCTGGGGGACCATCTGCTTGAGGTGGTTTTGCAAACTGTCTGAATTTAATGGAGAGTCAACCAGTGGTTATCAAAGACCCAGACAAGTAGCCTTCTTAAAAAATCTGTCTATGGTGGTATCCCTGTGCCTCCAAGAGTGGCAGCAAGTGAAGTGTTCTCAGCATTCCTTTTGCAGTTGCTTGCTGACTTCCAGGAAAGCTTTGGGGTGTTTCCAGCGGCAGGGGGCGCTCATGGCATTTAGGATGCAAAGGCAGTCTCTGCCACGGTGTCCTAAATGCCAATGTCTCCCTCTGTTGTCCCACCCCATCCTGCTGCCCTCACAGCGGTTACCAGGCAGAGGACGCCACTCTTCCCACCTGGATATGCAACTCCATGGACTCATCAGCCTCTGGAGATTGGCCTCAAAGCTGCCCACAAGAAGCAGCAGCGCGAGCACAGCTCACTTAGAAAGCAGCATCCAAAATATATTCTCAGGAACTTAAGTTCTGCAAGATGCTTGTTAGAAGTGGATTTTTCAGTCATATGGGTTTGGGGCTGTATACATTCTCCTCTGAGAGCTTCCATTTACTCATGTTAAAGGCTCTGAGAATTCTCACAGAAAAGAAACTATCTCAGTATTTCCCCAAGGTACTTTTTCTGTTAACTCAACAATTATTAATCCTGAGGGTTACTCTGGAAAATACATTAAGAGAGTAGCAGCCGGGCGCGGTGGCTCACGCCTGTAATCCCAGCACTTTGGGAGGCTGAGGCGAGTGGATCACGAGGTCAAGAGATCGAGACCATCCTGGTCAACATGGTGAAACCCCATCTCTACTAAAAATACAAAAAATTAGCTGGGCATCATGGCGCAGGCCTGTAATCCCAGCTACTCAGGAGGCTGAGGCAGGAGAATTGCCTGAACCCAGGAGGCAGAGGTTGCTGTGAGCCAAGATCGCGCCATTGCACTCCAGCCTGGGTAACAAGAGCGAAACTCCGTCTCAAAAAAAAAAAAAAAAAAAAAAAAGAGTAGCATCTGCTTAAGGGTTGCAAAGATGATGCAGTGAGATCCAGAGCCCTGTAGACCAGCCTGGGCCTCTCAGGCCTCCTCATGCGGAGCCTTCTCTCCCTGCATATGCCCAGCCCCCAGTCTCCAGGCACTCTGTTGCACCTTGGAAGTTTGTCCTTAAACTGAAGACTTCTGGCCATTTCCAGCTGCTTCTCTGGGTTTAATGCCCGAGGAAAACTCCTTTTCCATCTAGCCCAGAAGTTTCTGGTCCATCAAATGCTCCCCAGGAATTATCTACACAATACAGGATTTTTGCTTGTAGAGCCACGGGGTGGGGAGGCCACACCCCGGATGAGGGCATTCCTTTGACCCTCTCTGCCTAAGCGTATGTGCAGCTGACAACCGAATTATGGGGTTCTTCCTTCTTTAGGGTATTTATTGTATTTTGAAAGCCTATTTGAGTCTCAAAACAAAACCCTTTTAGACCCAAAGGAATAAGTCAAGTGGTGGAACCCAATGGGTCATAGAAGAAGGTAAGTGAACCTTCCTAGGTCTTTAAATTCCAGAATGTGGTCACCACTTTAACCGGAAGGGCCAGAGCAACATTAAGAAGACCCTGAGTGATCTGTCCCCACCTCCTCTTCAGCTTTCAGTTTTCTTGTTTCTCTGCACAGTAACAATGAGATTTTAATTTATTTTTTGAGACAATGTCTCTGTTGCCCAGCTGGAGTGCAGTGGTGCAATCATAGCTCACCGCAACCTCGAACTCTCAGGCTCAAGCAATCCTCCTGCCTCAGCCTCCTGAGTAACTAGGACTACAGGCGCACACCATCATGTACAGCTAATTTTTTTTTTTTTTTTTTTAGAGGTGGGGTCTAGCTATGTTGTCCAGGCTAGTCTTGAATACCTGGCCTCAAGTAATCCTCCCACTGTGGCCTCCCAAAGCATGGGATTACAAGCGTGAGCCACTGCACCTGGCCAACAATGAGAACTTCAATTGCTATTAAAGGATATGGGGACCGAAGAGAAAGGCAGCGCCTCAGTCCCAGCGTGCAGGCCTCCCTGTTCCATCTTCACCGAGGGAAGAAGGGGCAGACTTTCCAGATGGGCAGAGGTGAAAGGCAGGGGACACTGCTGTTGGCCCAGGACCAATGGTTGCAGTTTGGTAGTTCTCCAAGGTTGCAGGGCAGGCTCCGAGGAGGGGTGCCTCTGGCAAGATGAGTCCCGGGGCGGACTGCTACTCCAATGGCCATTGTTGCATCTGCGACCCAGTAGCTGGCTCCGAATCTGATCTTCCTGGATGTGGGAAGGTGCAGTCAATGGACAGTTTGCTGGGGGACCCTGACAGAGTTTGGGGATCATTCTTGGAGAGATAGGGTACCCAGAAGAATCTAGAGTCTTGGCCAATGGTAAGTTTCCTACTGGGACCCCAGCTTGTAGCTGGACCCTCCTGGGCAAGGCAGCCAAAGCAAGTGGATTTTCACAGGCCTCTGCCACGGGAGGTGAGGACTCGCTTCTACTCTCTGGCACCCAGCCCTGACTACCCAGCTGAGTCAGGCGGCCTGGCGGATCCAGTAGTACCTTTTGTAATACAGAGTCCACAGCCCGGGACACTGCTCTGGTCAGCTCTTTTCTCAGAATCTCCAGTGAAGCTGGTGCTCCAGAAGGAAGGAACCTGGGATCCTCAGACTGGTATTCAGCCTCAGACAATCGGTGTTTTTCTGCCCCAGAGAAGTCCTTGCTGGAACCCTGCTGGTGGTCACTGCTCGAAGCCCAGGGGTAAGGCCCACAGCCATTTCTCTGCTTTGCGCTCAGAGGGCCTTTTCCCTTGCCACAGCCTCTGAGGCCCTGAGCTGTGTTCCTGGGCTCAGCAGCCTGCAGGATATGCTCTTGCAGATGTCTTAGCTGTTGCTTCAGCAGGTGAAGTTGTTCTCTCACGTGAGGGCCCCCCTTCCTGTTGCCTTGGTGCCGGTCAGGGGCTGGTATCAGGAGCCCTTGCTGTGTGGGAAGGCTCTGCTTCCTCTTCCTCTCTCGGGCCGTCTCTGGGCAGTGTGGGGTGTCCCCAGCTTGTATACTGCCCGGCACCAGAGGATTTGGGGAGAGACACATGCCTTGGACAATGGTCTCCACTCTGGCCCTCTTGGCCTGGATGTGTTCATCCAGGTCTGCAGGGCTGGGGACCTGGCTCCAGGGAAACTGGGAGTCTCTACCCAGCTCTGGAGGGGATGAGCTTCTCTCACCTTCCATACAGGCTTCTGCCAGGTGGGAGCAGATCCGGGGCTGTGGAGAAAGCAAGATGGAGTTTGGATCCATCCCAAGCACTTGTTCAGAGCTCCATGAAGCAGCCACAAGGCTTCAGAATTCCTCTTCCTATTTCCTTAGCAGGAAATGCACCCAGAATGAGCGGGACTTCCTCCTCTGCACTTAGAAGGGTGAAAAGCCACTGTTGCTGAGAAGCAATTCAGATTCTGGGATGCCAGGGCTCACAAACCTCCTGGGCAGACTCCTGAAATTAGAGACTGGAAGAAAAAAGTACATGTGATTTTGAATAGTCCTTTTTAAGTTTGAACGTGCAAACATTCAATGCGGTCTTATTAAAGTGCAGATTTCAGTTCAGTAGATCTGGGGTGAGGCAGAGATTCTGGATTTTTTTTTTTTTTTTGAGACAGAGTTTCGCTCTTGTTACCCAGGCTGGAGTGCAATGGCGCGATCTCGGCTCACCTCAACCTCCGCCTCCTGGGTTCAGGCAATTCTCCTGCCTCAGGCTCCTGAGTAGCTGGGATTACGCACCACCATGCCCAGCTAATTTTTTGTATTTTTTAGTAGAGACGGGGTTTCACCATGTTGACCAGGATGGTCTCGATCTCTTGACCTCGTGATCCACCCGCCTCGGCCTCCCAAAGTGCTGGGATTACAGGCTTGAGCCACCACGCCCAGCCTGAGATTCTGGATTTTAAACCAGCTCCCAGGTAATGCTGATGCTGCTAGTCTCAGAACCCCACTTTGAGAGGATTCCCAAAGTGATCCCACAGGAAGAAAAATCTTCTTCTTGGGCATAAAAATAAAATAATAATAATATCATAGTGGCAGCTACCTGAGCAATTGGCATTATGCCAAGAACTCTACATCCATTACTTAATTTAATTAATTGTCATAACAGTTCCATGAGAATGTGGTCATGCCTGTTATCTACAAATAAGGAAACAAGATCAGAGAAGTTACTTCCCCATGGTCATGCAGCTAGGTGACAGGCTGGGGTCAAACCAAGCTTTGTCTGATTCGGAGTGACTCTTCTGGTGACTAAGAGCAACAGAATCACCCAAGGCACTTTTTAGAAATAGCAAATTCAAGCCAGGCACACTGGCTTAACGCCTGTTAATCCCAGCATTTTGGGAGGCCGAGGTGAGCAGATCACCTGAGGTCAGGAGTTCGAGATCAGCCTGACCAACATGGAGAAACCCTGTTTCTACTAAAAATACAAAATTAGCCAGGTGTGGTGACACATGCCTGCAATCCCAGCTACTCAGGAGGCTGAGGCAGGAGAATCGCTTGAACCTGGGATGTTGCAGTGAGCTGAGATCGCACCATTGCACTCCAGCCTGGGCAACAAGAGCAAAACTCTGTCTTAAAAAAAAAAAAAAAAAAAATAGCAAATTTTGATCGGGCACAGGTAGATCACCTGAGGTCAGGAGTTTGAGACCAGCCTGGCCAAAATAGTGAAATCCCATCTCTACTAAAAATAAAAAAGTGGCATGTGCCTGTAATCCCAGCTACTCAGAGGTTGAGGCAGGAGAATTGCTTGAAACTGGGAGGCGGAGGTTGCAGTGAGCTGAGACTGTGCCATTACATTACACCCTGGGCAACGAGTGAAACTCCGTCTTAAAAAAGAAAAAGAAAAGAAAACCATTGCTGTTCTTACTCCTGGAAAAATCAGATTATGCATTCATTGTTCGGTTATTTATTGAGCACCTGCTGTATGTTGGGCCTTCGTCTGGGCACATGGAGTGAGAAAGATCAGCATAGTCTGCCCTCCTGGAACAGTCTAGTAGGGAAAGCAGAAAATAAACAAACAAATATATTTTCAGGGTGTGATACCTGCTGTGAAGAGAAAGCACAATAAAGCACTGGCAACTGGGGAGAGTGGTTGGGGAGAAGGAGGGAGCTATTTCAGGAAAGGCTGCCTAAGGCTGTTTTATTCCCACAAAGTATCAAAGTATGCTGCACTCCAACTATGTTACTTGCTTTCTAAGTAATAATAATCATTAAACTGGCAGAATTTATATTTTAACCAACAGGGACACGACAACGATACCCTTGACATGTTAAATTTGAGATAAGTACTGTACAGACTTCTAAATAAAGATGTCAAGGAAGCAATTGGTGGCCAGGCGCGGTGGCTCATACTTGTAATCCCAGCATTTTGGGGGGCCGAGGCAGATGGCTCACAAGGTCAGGAGTTCAAAACCAGCCTGGCCAACATAGTGAAACCCCATCTCTACCAAAAAAATACAAAATACAAAAATTAGCCAGGCGTGGTGGTGTGTGCCTGTAGTTCTAGCTACTTGGGAGGCTGAAGCAGGAGAATCGCTTGAACTGAGGAGGCAGAGGTTGCAGTGAGCCAAGATCATGCCACTGCACTCCAGCCTGGGCGACACAGTGAGTGGGCGACACAGTGAGTGGGCGACACAGACTCCGTCTCAAAAAAAAAAAAAAAAAAAAAAAAAAGAAAAAAGGAAAAGAAAGCAATTGGAGCCTGGGGTTCAGTCTGGGAGACCTGGGCTAGAAATATAAAATTGACGGTGGTCAGCATGTGGCTGGATGAGGGTCACGAGGGGAGTGAATGTAGACAGAGAAGGGATGAGGGCCAAGGTCCCAGTCCTGGGACACAGGGACTTGAAGAGGCTGGACGCACAGGTGGGAATCGACCAAGGCAACTGAGAAGGAGCAGTCAGAGAGGCAGGGGGAGACCTTAGGGTGTGTGAGGGCCTGGAAACCAAGCGAAGTGTTTCTAGGAGGAGGGAGAGGCCAAGTCACAAGGAAATTGTAAATTGACCATTTAAATTAGTAATATGGAGTCACTGGGAATCCTGCTCAACAGTTTTGTTGGAGTAGAGGGAGAAAAAACCTGACTGGAGAGGATTTAAAGGAGAGGATGAGAAGAGGAGTAGGTGACATTGAATTTGACAACTCTTTCAAGGAGTTTTGTAAAGAGGTCAGAAATGGGACAGCGCTGGAAGAGAAAATATGGTCAAGAGAGTTTTTGTTTTGTTTCTTTTTTTTTTTTTTCTTTTGAGATGGAGTCTCACACTGTTGTCAGGGCTAGAGTGCAGTGGCAGGATCTTGGCTCACTGCAACCTCTGCTTCCCAGGTTCAAGCGATTCTCCTGCCTCAGCCTCCTGAGCAGCTGGGATTACAGGCGCCTGCCACCAGGCCCGGCTAATTTTTGGTATTTTTAGTAGAGATGGGGTTTCACTATGTTGGCCAGGCTGGTCTCGAATGCCTGACCTAGTGATCCACCTGCCTCGGCCTCTGAAAGTGTTGGGATTACAGGCATGAGCCACTGCACCCTGCCAAGAGAGAGTTTTTCAAGATATTCAGAAAAACAGCATATTTGTAGGCTGAAGACAGTGATGCTGCAGAAAGATGAAATATGTTAATGTAGGCAAGAGGGGGAGAATTTCTGGAGCCATGTGCTTGAGTAGGAAGGAGGGGAAGAGATCTAATGCACACACAGAGGGATTGACGTGAGACGGGAATGCTCTGTTCATCCAAGTAGCAAGTGGAAGAGCAGAGGCTATATACTGGTGCAGGCAGGTGGATAAATGTGGTGGGAATTGGAAGTTTTCTTTTGATTGTTTCGGTTTTCTCAATGACCAAAACTGTAGCTCTGCTTATGCCCCTCTATGGAATCAAAGTCTTTGCTAGCTTCCTGTGGACTAGAAGGTTCAAGTGTCTCCGCTCTTCGTAAACATGGTCTCGATCTAACTGTCCTGGACTTTGTGTTCGCTGAACAGGCCAAACTCCTTCCAGCCTCTGTGTCTTTGCACTTACATTCTCTTACCCTGACCAGCCCTTCTCCCACTTTTCCACTGACAAACTCTTATTCCTCTTTCGAAATCCAACTGAAATGACACTTCCTCTCTGAAGTGGTCATTGCTGACTGTGAGCTCCCTCTTTGTGTCCCCAAGTAGTGCCTGATTGCCAGATGTCACCAAACAGATGTTTGCTAACTCCATTGAATAAATTGTCCATAAATACTTCATTTATACTGATTTTTGTCTCCTTGATAGACAACACTTTATGTCAGATCTCTCCAGCACCCAGCATGGAGGCTTGTACATGGAACAAAATCAATGCAGGCAGAAAGACAGACAGGTAGATCGAGTCATTGATTAGAAGAGCATAGAATCACCAACATTGCTGAGTCACCCTTGTGGGTTATTCAAGGTATTGTTTCTGAGGTTTCACGTAGTCACTAGACTAGAACACGTATCTCCTTATCTTTATCAACACCGGGCCTTGTCTTTCCATGTGTGCTCCAGAAGACAGATCTACTAGGGTAACAGATGGGGCCAGTGTGCTTAATGAAGCAACAATGAACAGAAATACCTTGAGGCCAGAAACTGGAAATCTAGCCAGACTCCACTGTGGTTGGGTGCCCAGAGATGTTTACGCCCATGCAATCATGGAAACTCGTGCCTCTGGGCTGCTGAGGAACAGGAAACCTCAGTGCTGAGGCCGGCGCGCTGCCCGCAACCCTTTATCTGGGCAAGTCTGCATGAAGTAGTGATTGGAAATTAGCTGGCAGCACTCTCATATTCACCGATTCACTGATAGAGGTAGCAATTGTCACACTCTTTTAAAAATAGCTTTATGGCTTCTCTTAGATTATGAAAGTAGTGTAGGATCATTTTACTTCCCAAATATAGAAATGTATTAAGAGGAAAAGAAAGACACTATGATGCTGCTCCCAGAGAAAATCAGTTAAGATTTTGGTCTTCATCATTTTTGCCGAACTCTTTTCTCCATGTACAGAGATATTTATAATTTCTCATCATTATATATATTGAAAAAGAACAAAAACGGTATTATAGATATATAGTTTTATGCCTCCATTGTTTTCTTTCATGTAGATGAATATCAGTCTACAGCAACATCGTGAAAGCTGACAATATTCTATTGTATAGATGTACCATAATTTACTTAACAAGTTCCCGTTTGATAGATCCCTTCTCATATTTTCACTATTATAGAAGCATAGACAAAAGAGTATGGAGATGGATAACGTAGACCCACAAGTCAGACTGCCTAGA